CCCTTATTTGGAAAACCTGTTGGTCCCCCTTATTCAAATCATGTGTTTACTGATAAGCCGCATATTTTGAATAGTCAGGTTAAATTTCACCAGCCACAACAAAGCCTGGTTTCTTTCTGAAAAACTGAGTCAAGGAAATATCCCCGGTCTGACAGCATGAAGTAGACGACTGATGACTCTTCCGGGAGGTCACAAAGAACCCATAATATTTTCAGCAAGCTTCTGTTATGTCACTGAGCGTCAGTGTTCATGATGCCACAATACAAAAGAGAATGTTCAAATAAAAAGTCAATCTCACAAATGCCAAAAAAACAAACAAACAAAAAAAAAAAAAACATCTTCACGAGACTTTAGGAAGATACTCTGTGGACTTACGAGACAAAACGACTAAAACCTGGAATTGAAACCCTCCAATTTGGCTGTCTTAAAACAAATCTGCAGATTGGGTCAAAATTACTTACAGCAATGTAAAATACTTGTTAATTATCACGCACACATTATGGCAGTTGTTGCACTCAGGGAATCGTCTTTTAAAACCCACATTTGCCTTTGCTCAGGTCACACGGGCCAAGCAGAACGCTGACCATTATATTCTTGTTGATTATTCAAAGCTGCTTCACAACACCGAGGCCAAACAAAGCATGTGTGATAACATCAACACTCAAAGCTCAAAGTGTTTGGTTACTGCATTTCCAGTTTGGCCAAGCCACCTGACACTAAAGCATCTAATGAAAGTAAACAAATATTACTTCAGAAGCTACCGTCTCTTCTATTGTAGCTATGATTACAGCTAAACAATGTTTTCCTTTCAGTCATGCAGCAACATCAACCATTTCATTTTATATATCAATAACCATTTTAAAAAAAAATGTCCTCAAGGTGTTTACACAATAATTAATATGAACTCTGGTTTAAAATAAACACTAGCTTTCCAACTTTGGTTTTTCCAACCCATGTAAGTGAACTGACAAAGAGAGCACTTCCCCCTTTTTTGATCTCATCATCAAATACTGACATGCAACATTACCTGAAAACAATAAAAAATAAAAAAAGTCAAAAGAAAATGTGACTCAATTATGAGTGCTATGGTTAAACTAGACTCACAACCCAAAGACCTGCAGGCTTAAAGCTAAAGGAGCAGGCGATAAATTAAATGTCTACTCCAATCACCCGGGCTGTTCTGAGAACAAATTGGGTTCGTCAGCTTCCAGATTGTACTCAGTCACATTACTAAGAAGGTCGGCGTAGCTAGGAGCTGGCAGAGCATTGAGGTATATCGAAGTGATTGTACATTATAAAGAGACAGTCTTTCCATAATGGTGTGTGACGAAGTTGGTGAATAAGAAATGCTTTCCTGTGACAAAGCATGACTGAGGACATTTTAATGGCTACTTGGCAAAATGATGAAATAACATCTCAAAGGGTGACTATGTTTCACGCTAGTATGTTCACTCTTATCATAAACTTTACCTTTTGACTAATCACCATATAACTGAAACTGAATAACAATTTAGACAACATTTTTTTCCTCATAAGTGAATGCATGATAGCTTACTGAGAAACATAAAGGTTTTCTTTAAAATAAATGACAATACAGTTCACTCCCTTCATTTCATTGTTATGAAATACTATGTGTTGGTCTGTTACAAAAATCCCATTTCATCAAATACAACAAAGTGTTTACATGACAGAAATAAGAAAATGTGTATGCATTTTTTCCCCCCGAAGAACTGCAATAACAAGTTAAACGAGTTTTTTTTTTTTCCAAGTGCCATTACAAAGTATTAGAAGGGATGATGGAACTTTTGTTGCAAGTATCCATGAATTGATGCATTTCTAATGAATTTGTGAACAAACTTTCAGCACATTCGTGAATTCACAAATTGTATTTCATTTTTCTTTGTTGGACAACAAAGACAATGCAGATGGTTTTTGTTTGTTTTTTTTTTACCTGAAAAACAATCATGTTTTACATAAAGCTTACCGTGCTAGGGATCCTCAGGTTCTCCACTGGACTCAGATCAGCCATGCTCTCCTGGGGGCTTTTGAGGCCCTGTCACAAAAACAAACAAAAAACCCCACCATAAACCTTTAATTAATGTTTTCTCTCCGTGCAGCCAGCTCCCCTTTCTCATACGGCTAGCATAATGACACTACTGCACACACACAAAAAAAAGTGGAACTGACGGTGCAGATTACTGACAGCGATATGCTCTGTTGTGTCCTAAAAATTACTCAATCTAACATTACTTCTTGTGCAAACTGAGAACTTCCCCAGCCACCCAGGATTCATTGTTGTTGTGGGCAAGTGTTGTGAGCAGGTGTGTTTTAGCGGATTGAACGTCTACTGTTCCTCAAGGAGAGAGGGAAAAAAAGGCTTTTCTTTATACGAAATAGTAAGCCTAAACCTTCATAGAACTAGGTGAAAATACTGAGTTTGTCCCGTATTACCCCGCCTGTTAAATGCCAGACGATGAGCTGTCAAATTAGCCAGTTAGCTAGGTTAGCTGCAAGATACAAACGACCGGCTGGTCCTTGAATAAAGGCATGATTTTTCTCACCTGGCGGGCCATAAGAGACTTTATCTTCTGCATCGTGAATCCAACTTGTGTGAAAAAAGGCAAGTAAATGAATAAATCTTTAATACTGTTTGTTGTCAACAGTAAACCTCTATCACTACGAGAAGGAAGCCATAGTTGACTGTCACGTGATTGGAAAGGCAAGAACTGGAAGAATCCTGCAGCATCTTGGGTAATGTGGTTCTTACGCCGTGTATCGTTAAATTCTACCTGTCAGTGTTTATTACGGATAAACGTCGTTAAAATGTATGTGTAATTGAAGCCAAAAGTAGTATTTAAAAAAAAAAAAAAAAAAAGAAGGTATACATATATATTCTAAGACTTAAGATGACTGTAAAATATGGATTTTAAAAAAGTGATTATTATCGCAGCCTGGTCTTTCTGCCACTGGATGTCAGTAAATTTGCAAGAGTACAAATGGCTGACTTTTGGCTCTAGTGAAAAATGAAAAAGATACCAAGACAGATAAACTCCATATTCCATATTCAATCATATCAAACATGTTGATAGAAACCCTTGATTACTTGCTTTTCATCCTGTCATTTCGAATCAAGGATGGGCAATATTGTTATTTCAGTGGGCCATTTGTTGATAATGCAAGGGTGTCACACTGAGTTGGAAGTGTTCATTTTCCAGGAAGCTTTGATGAAAGATGCTTCATTGTTTTGTGTTTTTTTTTTTTTTTTTTTTCTAGATGGTGAGTTAAGAATGCATTGTATATTCGGTCAAAAATTGCTGCTGCTTTAATAAAGTGATATTTTCTTGGCACTTTAAACATGATCTATTTAAACTGATATATGTTAAGATGTAAATTACTAGCTAAGTGATAAATTAGGCTGTGTATGTGTAGTTGTCATTGTTTTTTGTTCTTCCAGGAATGTTCCTGAACTATTGCAAATAAAAACTTTTTCTCCCAGATGTTCGCTGAACCAGAGTTCATTCAGGGTTACAAGAGTAAAGGGACACTGAATATGAATGTCCCCCAATCACATTCTGTTTCTATTTTTAACAAAAATGCAAACAAAAATGCATTTTTAACAAAGATGAAAATCAAATACTATTTGCTTTCTGTTTTGTAATGATGTACTTATTTGTGGTGATCTATCCACACAAGATCAAAAAGAAAACATGCATTAAAATTTGGAATGTGAGAAAAAGGGGGGCAAATTCATAGTGTATGAAAACAGTAGCCAAATAAACTTAATCAAACCAGATATTATGATTGACATTGCAGTGGGTGTGCTGTTTAGCCAGCCACATTTATATTCCATTCACGAGAAAAGAGATCATGTCATGCCATGTTTTCCATGACTGTTTCTCCATCTCTGCCAAGTTATTAGGCCAAGCTCCACATTGTGAGCTCTTCCAAATAATTACCAAAGCGGTGCACGCAGACCAACTCAGCCTGTTTGTAATTGCCCTGTCAGGCCTTCTACTGAGCAACACTGGAAGGCTGCGCACCGGAGGCAGAGGGAGAGCTAGTTCCTGGTTAATCATGCTTTAGGCTGATTTCCCAGTCAAATGAAGGTGAAGCTTCTCCCCTTAGGTGAATTTACTCCACTGTTGTTTGTTAGGCAGCCATCCATAAGGCGGCACCTCCCTTAAAGCATACACTGAGACGGAACAGATGGCCGCTGCTACCCGGAGATGCCTCCACAAAGAAGAGACACACACACACACACAGTTGGTCAGCTCATAAGCTATAATTAGAACAAGATTAAAAAGACTTCTTGTTGTTATGCAAGGGAGCATCATACTTAGACTTGCAGTTAATAATCTCTGCAGTCGGTAGGTAGACGCGGCTTCTGGCAAGTATTGATTCCACTTTACAGATGCTGTATTTCCAAGTGTTTCAACTCAAAAATGCTACTGAATTCAATCTTTCATTTTGTCATAGAGTTTGGTCTTAACAGCCCATTTGTACAGATACAAAACCTGACTATGTGTCAGCCATTTTATAAACTCCGAAGTCCTGCTAAATAGAAAATCTTAAGCATTTTTCTTGTACTTTCTCTAAATGCACATATGCACAAACATAAAGCACATCAGAACTCTTATTTACTCGTGACAAGGTGTCAGCAGGAGCAGGTGGGAGGGCACTCGGCCACATGCTGAAGCGTCCGTCTGTCCCTGCCAGTAGGCGCACAGAATACCAGCACACCAATCGCCGACAGAAATGAGCGCTCTGCTGCAGATTTGGAACAATGCATGCAACTCATAGAAGTTCAATAGGAGAAATTCAATTCAAAATATTAAATATTAAATACAGATCTTATTCTTCCCACTTCTGTTAAAAACAAACAGATCTTTTTCTGCTTTGCCATTTTATGAAAAGCGTGTAACCACAGGGACAAAGTTTGAATTGTGTTCATTTTGTTTTGTTGTGGACAGCCAAAAGGACTTTACAATGACCCACAAAAGTAAATACATATACATTTAATTAATAAAGTACAAAACACATATACACAAACTGTACAATCATTTCAGTATTTTTTTTTCTTAAAGCATGTGGTTTTACTGAGTTTGAGCAGGAAAATCAAAGGAAAACAAACAAAAGAATACTTTTGGAGAAACAGACTCAAGTAGCACAATGACCATGAAAAGGTCGAATATTCAAGAGATAAATGTAGTTTCTTTTACATTTTGCATCTATTCATTGTGTAGTTTTAACAGTCAAACTTGTCCAAAATGGGAATTGCAAGCAATGAGTATTGGTTTTTTTAAAATATACTCCCTGCCTGTCGCATGTTTGACCTAGTTCTCCTACAAAACTTTCCCTCAACTCACCTGACTTTCTGTTTGAAAAAAAAAAAGCTACAAAACTTGACTTTCGGTCGTGGCAAGAAGGTTCTCCGAGTTGGACAAGAGAAGAAAATGGATCCAATCCAATCCAATCCATTCTTATTGTACTGCACTTTAACATACCAAACAGGACCAGTGCTGTACAGAATACATAAACATTACAAATGGTGTGTGATACAGTTTATTGTCTCAAAACAGCCTTTTATTCCCACGACAAAGCAAGACATAAACTGGGTGTGGTCTCAAAATAGCCAACAAGAAAACGACAGCGGCCATAAATAAAGTAGACTGGAACATTGTTTTTAAGAATCTCTGTATCTCATGTCCACAGAGCTAGAGAAAAAAACAACACAAACACCACTTTTAAAAAACAGTTTAATTTTTTTTGTTTTGTTTTTCCTTCTAAAAACTTACTTTGCATGTAGACAACAGGCACATCAAAATGTCTACCTTGCAAAACATCCCTGTTTTCGATGTATAATGTACCCCCTCAACTGGAGCAGTAAATTACATTCACTAATAACTGGGAGATGAGACACTGCAAGAACGTCCTGTATGTGAAAAATACACCATTTTTATTCAAACAATAAAATTGACTACACCTATTTCAGTACGAGCATTGTGTACGGTCATAGTAGGTGGTAAATTCAAAACTTAAAAAAACATTAAATAAAAATAAACAAGAAAATAAAAGAGTTCTTGTATATTTCTCCTGAAAACAAAAATCATGAAAAATGTATTTTTGCGTGCTTTCTTTTTCCATGTCTAGGAACTTCACAAACAAGAAACAAAAAATGGAAATAGAGTATTATATGTAAAGTCTCTTTAGGATAATCCATGTACAATATTTACAATAGAGCAATCAAATGCCTTCATTGTAACACTTGTCAGAAAACATACGGTTATTTAAGGGTCTGTTTGAATTGGCAAGTTAATTCGTTTCTGAAAGCAACAATGTCACGTAAGTTGCAAAGTTTTGGCTGTTTATACATTTCAAAAAAGCTCAAGGTAATATAAAGATCTGCTTGGTTTTTAACAATCTTCATTCTTGAACACATAATAAAAATTAATCATGTTAAATAAAATAAAAATAAAAAAAAACACAATCATACATCCACTTTTTACCTATCTCTAGTAGAGGATGATAAATATCTGTCCCAAGCTCTCAACAGTAACAGTGCATATTCAGGTCGTGTACCCCAACAAGTCTCCTTCATTTTGTGTGCAAAAAAAAAAACAGTTGGGCAGCAAACACAAGAATAAGGCTACACAGAAATCTTCAAGTGTGACAACTGAATCTACCCAGCAAACAATTACTTCAGCAAGCTGGCACTGGGGGATTCTGGGACGTGTCTGATCACATCGTAGATGGTGGTGTGCATATCTTGAATGGACTCGAGCCGGGCCAGAGATTTGCATGATGACTGCGGAAGTCGGGGGAGAGGGGAATAAATAATGACGACATAATGGAAAATGAGAAAAACAGAAACTAATTGAGAAGGACTTTTACTTCCTTATCAAAGAGTCATAACAATATGTAAATCACCTGGGTGGAGTCCATTTTTCCTGGTATGGAGACAAACTCATAGATGCCAAAGTCGTCTGCTGCATCTTCATGACCTGTGCATAAACATTTTATAATGTAAGAATCGCAGTAAGGGAAATGGTCTTACTGTGCTAAGACATGTTTTGCATATTTTTTGTTTTTGCACTTATATATATATATATATAT